ACAGATGGGTACATACTGTGTGATTTTACTTACATAAAATCTGGGAGCTGGCAAATTTATGATGTGCATACTTTTAACACCTGTAAATTATACCTCAATAAAGAAGAACAGAAATGGTTTGTAATCAGATAAGATCATTTCACAGAACTGAAAACCAGACAGAGACATTGAGAAGATTTCATTTTCCTTAAATTGCCTATTTGGAATGTAATAAAGCTTTTCTAGGTGTTTTGAGTAATCCACCCTTACTAAACCACCTTGGGTAAGTGTGGGTGGTCATGAATGGTGAGATGTTTATTTAAATACTTATTATGGCTCACACTGGCCAGACGGAGTGTACATCTTAAAGGTCACTGCTGCCTCTCCTCTTCAAATGAGTGGGTGGATTATCTTTCATAAAGAGTTATGTTATGTACATGATAGACTCTTAAACGAATCCAAGAAATAAGACCATGGAGGTCCCAGTCTGGAAATCTGTGGCCAACACAGAGAAGAGGAATTGTACTGCAACATGAGATCCTGGCTGCAGAGGAAGGAATCCCAAGCTCCAGGGACATCATACAGTGTATCTGACTATAAAGGGGAACTTGACCTACTATTTGCATCTTCATGTTTTGGGTAATTGTTCTCCCCAGATAAATTATTTTGGAAGTTTTTATGCACATTAAAATGAAAACAGAGAAATTATTAAATCCTGTAATAGAGTGAGAGGAAGCCTTGTAGAGTAGAAAAAGCATGGACTTGAGAGTAAAAAAAAATCAGGAGTCAAATTCTAGCTCTTCCACTTCCTAAATATGTGACTATGGAGAAATGATCCAATTCTTCTAAACTTCCATTTCTTTGCCTGTGAAATGAGGTTTATAATACCTGCCATATATTATGTTAAGGATTGCAGACTACATGAGTGCCTGGCATGCTGAGCAAACAAAAAGGTGTCGGTAACTGTTAAATATTAAGAGAATTGGATACCAGCCATTCTCAGCACTTATGGCTGAATGGCTTTGTTCAAGATACTCATGTTTTTCATTTATTAAAAAAAGCCAAAAACATCTACCTGTTGAAGAATGGCTTCTGAACTTAATTTGCAAGCAGTCTATTTTTGTTCTTTCTTGTGCTCCTACATGTGTCTACTGAAAGAATCACTTTAACACTAGATACTAGAAAATGGCGAAAAGGTCTATTTACTGGGTATGTACAACACAAAAGAAAAAAAATCAGAAATGGTAAATAGCAACAGCACCTAACCTCCATTTGAGGCCCAAGGCAGAAAATTCTCCTGAAAGGGTGGATGAGAATGGCAACTGACTGCAGGTTGCTGACCTCATTTTTAGCAGTGATTTCATTGCTCTAATTTTTATCTTTTTAATTTTTAAAATATTTATTTATTTATTTGCACCAGGTCTTTAATTGCAGCATGCAAACTCTTTAGTTGTGGCATGTGGGATCTAGTTCCCTGACCAGGGATCAAACCCGGGTCCCATGCACTGGGAGCATGGAGTCTTAGCCACTGGACCACCAGGGAAGTCCCACTGCTCTAATTTTTAAATGTTCATTTTGTTCTTGAATGAAATCAAGATAGGGCAAGTTTCAAGTGTATCACTCAGGGTCACAGACAAGATGGCAGAGTAAAAGAACATGAGCTCATCTCTTCTCACCGGAACACCAGAATCACAACTAACTGCTGAATGACCATTGACAAAAAGGTACTGGAACCTTCTAATAAAATACCCTACATCCAAAGACAAAGAAGAAGCCACAATGAGAAGATAGGAGGGACGCAAGTGCAACAAAATCAAACCCCATACAGGCCAGGTGGGCGACCCACAAACTGGAAAATATACTGCAGAAGTTCTCCCATAGGAGTGAAAGCATGAAGTCTGTATGCAAGCCTCTTAGGTAACCTCATCCACCAGGCTTCAACCACGATCACAGAAAGACAAAATGAGATGGCAGAGAAAAATGTCCCAGATGAAAGAACAAGACAAAAACCTCAGAAGAACAACTAAGTGCAGTGGAGATAGGCAATCTACCTTTAAAAGAATTCACAGTAATGATAGTAAAGATGACCCAAGATGTCCTAAATGAATGGAAACATAGATGGAGAAAATAACAAGAAATGTTTAACAAAGACCTAGAAGAACTAACGAACAAACAGATGAACAATAACTGAAATAAAAAATATACTAGAAGGAATCAAGTATATCACCCAAACAAGCAAACAGTGGCTTCCTATTGGCATAGGGTCTATTTTCCTATAGTGCTTGACTCCAGAGCAAGGATAGTTACCCCATCTCATCTCTCGCTGCTGAGAGTGGGCGTAAGGCCAAGATAGGGGCAGTTATCTTCCTTTTATTTCTCAGGTTCAAGATGCCTTATTTAGGGAAAAGAAAATGGCAATACCAGAAATAAAAATGCTTGTCCCGCCAGTCTTGGCCAAGTAGTACAAAATGATCTGATCCATTGTATATTTTAAACTAAAACACTGTTGCTTTCTGAACCCAGAATAGCATGGCCTGTGTTTCTCTCTTTAAAAGGGGAAAAGAAATCTCCACACTGTTTTCCATAGTGGCTGTACTAATTTGCATTCCCACCAACAGTGTAAGAGGGTTCCCTTTTCTCCACACCCTCTCCAGCATTTATTGCTTGTAGACTTTTGGATAGCAGCCATCCTGACTGGTGTGTAATGGTACCTCATTGTGGTTTTGATTTGCATTTCTCTGATAATGAGTGATGTTGAGCATCTTTTCATGTGTTTGTTAGCCATCTGTATGTCTTCCTTGGAGAAATGTCTGTCCAGTTCTTTGGCCCATTTCTTGATTGGGTCATTTATTTTTCTAGAGTTGAGCTGGAGGAGTTGCTTGTATATTTTTGAGATTAATCCTTTGTTGCTTCATTTGCTATTATTTTCTCCCAATCTGAGGGCTGTCTTTTCACCTTGCTTATAGTTTCCTTTGTTGTGCAAAAGCTTTTAAGTTTCATTAGGTCCCATTTGTTTATTTTTTCTTCTATTTCTAAAATTCTGGGATGTGGGTCATAGAGGATCCTGCTGTGATTTATGTCGGAGAGTGTTTTGCCTATGTTCTCCTCTAGGAGTTTTATAGTTTCTGGTCTTACATTTAGATCTTTAATCCATTTTGAGTTTATTTTTGCGTATGGTGTTAGAAAGTGTTCTAGTTTCTTAAAAAGCTGGAAATAGAACTGCCATATGACCCAGCAATCCCACTTCTGGGCATACACACCGAGGAAACCAGATCTGAAAGAGACACGTGCACCCCAATGTTCATCGCAGCACTGTTTATAATAGCCAGGACATGGAAGCAACCTAGATGCCCATCAGCAGACCAATGGATGAGGAAGCTGTGGTACATATACACCATGGAATATTACTCAGCCATTAAAAAGAATTCATTTGAATCAGTTCTAATGAGATGGATGAAACTGGAGCCCATTATACAGAGCGAAGTAAGCCAGAAAGATAAAGACCATTACAGTATACTAACACATATATATGGAATTTAGAAAGATGGTAACGATAACCCTATATGCAAAACAGAAACAGACTCCGATGTATAGAACAGACTTGTGGACTCTGGGAGAAGGCGAGGGTGGGATGTTTCAAGAGAACAGCATCGAAACATGTATATTATCTAGGGTGAAACAGATCACCAGCCCAGGTTGGGTGCATGAGACAAGTGTTCGGGCCTGGTGCACTGGGAAGACCCAGAGGGATCGGGTGGAGAGGGAGGTGGGAGGGGGGACGGGGATGGGGAATACATGTAAATCCATGGCTAATTCATTTCAATGTATGACAAAAACCACTGCAATGATGTAAAGTAATTAGCCTCCAACTAATAAAAATAAATGAAAAAAAAAGGGGGGGGGGGGAAGAAAATCACAACTCTGCATGGGAAAATTCCCAAAAAAAGGCTTATGGCTGACTTTATCCCTTTTTCTTCACACCAACCAAGGTTAGATAATCACAAACAGCACTTTACCCTACTTCCTAGGATTGTTGTAAGGATTAAATGATATAAAATTACTCTGTCAAGTGCAAAATGCCACATAAATATTAGTCAGGTTATTACATGAAGGAAACTGGTATCATTCCAGGTTTGTGCTGGAGACAGTAACAATGAACTAAACAGACAGCTGGGCAAATCTGCCAGACAGGAAGCATGTCTGACTCTTGAACACAGGCTAGATTCCCTTCTGCTGAGCTATACCTGCCAGACTGGAAGCCCCTCGTGCTCCAGTCATGAATGGACACGTCCTGTCCAGGGCTTCCAAGGCCTCCCCCAGTCTGGCCTTTGGCTCCACCCTGCAGTGCTGGCCCAGGGCCAAGTCTGGGTTAACTTCCCCTTCTAGTTTGCCTGGTACTGCCTTTCCGGTACCATCAGGCATTAAGCCAGCGTCAGGTTTTGCAGAGCACAAGTGGCCCAAGAATGAAAACATTCCTTCCTTCATACTAGGGAACTTCCCTCCTCTTTCCCCTAAAAGCATTCCTATTTCTACTTCTCTGGTTCTCATCTGCTCCAGGGCTCCAGATTAGGGTGTGGGAGGTCAAGAAGCTAAGATAAGAGGGAAGGAACAGTTTGTCTCATTGATCATTCCTCTAAATTGAGTCTCAACTGCTCTCCACTAGTGCTACTTCATTGCTAACTCCTTGCTTTCAGGAGCCGGAACATAATAGGTTCTTAATAACTATTAGCAAAAAGAACACAAATATCAGATTAACGAATCAGCAAACATAGGTATACCTTGGAGATTTTGTGGGTTCAGTTCCAGACCACCTTAATAAAGCAAATATCTCAATTAAGTGAATTTTTTGGCTTCCTAATTCATATAAAAGTTGTGTTTACAACACACTGACATCTATAAAGTTAACAGCATTACGTATTAAAAATATACCTACCTTAACTAAAAATACTTTATTGTTGAAAACCCTAACCATCATCCGAGTCTAAAGATCACTGAACAGAGATCATGACAATAAATAATGATCAAACAGTTTGAAATATTGTGAGAAGGAATAATACTGAAATATTTGAAATATTGTGAGAAAGACTAAATTGTGACACAAAGACATGAAGTGAGCAAATACTGTTGAAAAACAGCACCAATAGACTTGTTTGATATGCAGGGTTGTCACAAATCTTAATTTTGTAAAAATGCAGTATTTGTGAAGCACTATAATGCATGCCTGCATGCTCAGTCGCTTCAGTCCTGTCCAATTCTTTGTGCCCCATGGACTGTAGCTCACCAGGCTCCTCTGTCCATGGGATTATTCCAGCAAGAATACTGGAGTGGGTTGCCATTTCCTCTTCCAGGGGATCTTCCCATCTCAGGGATTGAAGCTGTATCTCCTATGTTTCCAACATTGGTAGGAAGATTATTTACCACTGAACCACCTGGGAAGCCAAAGCACAGTAAAATTAAGCATGATAAAACGAAGTACACCTGTATCAAACGAAGTCCAAGGCCTTTTCCTGGACCGTGACCTCCCCTATTCCTGCCTGCTTTTCATCTGTTTTTACATTCAGAAACTAGGGCACTTCAGCTTGGTTTCCCAGGTTAACTTTGATTTTAGTTCTTTATGCACAAAGGATCACTTTCAGCACATCCATACTTTCATGTGAGTTTCAAGAGGAAAAAGAAACCTAAAAAGGGACAAACCTTCCTTTCTATCTATTTCTCAGAAGGGTCAGAATCAATGTGGCAATATATAAATGTGTGTGTGTGTTTAGGAGTGGCATGAAAAGATTGTGAGGTTGTGTTATTTTCAATAGGAGAATGGAACAGACACCCTAGCTGGAAAGCAGAGTTGCTAACAGCAGAGGCAGACTAACTCCTGCCAAAGACAGGAGGTAAAGAGGGCATAGCTCTAAAATCATGCTACACACCCCTATCTCCTGATGTCCTAGATCAGGAGGGGAGAGCCAGGGTTTTCTGGTGTTCAGTGGTGGAATAGTGTTCCACCGCTACAGCACATCAACTATGAAACCCAGGTGGTATCAAATACTCAGATATACATGTAATTGGAATGACAGAAGGAGATGCGAGAGAATGGGGCAGAAAAAAAGTGGTTTAAAAAATAATGGCTAAGACTCCCACTACAATATTGTAAAGTAATTAGCCTCCAACTAATAAAAAAAAATAAATTAAAAAAAATAATGGCTAAGACTTTTCTTAATTTGATGAAAGACAGAAATTCGTAGATATAAGATTATAAATGAACATTAAGCAGAAGAAACACAAAAAAGGTTCACACTGATGTACACCAAAGTCAAATTACTGAAAGCCAAAGCCTAACAGCAACTCTCAAAAGCAGCAAGAGAAAATAATGTATTACACAGAAGGAAAAAAATGATCCGATCAACAGCCATCTTTCATCTGAAACCATGGAGGCCAGAGAGAATGGAAAAACACCATTAAAATGCTGAAACTAAAAAAACCATCCTGTCAATCCAGAACTCTATATTCAGGGGATATGTTATTCAAGTATGAAAGAAGAATAACAATATTTTCAGATAAAGTACAACTAAAAAGATTTGTAGCCAACAGATCTACACTAGAAGAAACACTAAAAGAAGCTTTTCAGGTTGAAGGGAACTATAAGATGGAAACCTTCATTCAACAGGGAAGAATGAAGCACACCAAAAATGCTAAGCATCTGAGTAAATTAAAAAACTATTTTTTGCTCCTTTTCTCTTAATTTCTTTTCAAATTGCTTTTAGTACTTGGTTATAGTCTATTGTTAATAGTCTTGGGAGATTTATTACTTGCAGAGGTATTACATATGAGCTCATGGCCTTCCAACTCTGTATTTATCTTATGGGATGCTTAGAGTCTGGAATTGCTTCTGCTCTCTATTCGAGCCTCTTTCCATTACTAAGAATTTGTTATGTGCACTGACTGGGTAGTAATGTGGTGAGGGACAAAAGTCTTTGAAAACCAACAGAAATGGAGATTGCTAGAATATAGAATATATATGGTTGGGAGGGAGAATCAGTGCAGGGAAGGAAAACATTGAGATTAAATGCTCCCATGGTAAAAGCGAAGTTACCAGGAACAGGCCTTCAATCTGTTCTAATTTGTGGCAGAACTTGGGGAAGAGAAACGTAAAATACTTAGTCCACTACCTAATTTCTCAACCTTCTCACCCTACAATAATTCCTAATCTTCTTAAGGCTTGACATATATGTCTATATGTCTTTAGGTAGTACTTAGTTCCTCTAGGTATCTGATTTCCAGTTGGTGAAGGAAGTGAAAAAGAGGTGGTAGGATTTGGGAAATAATAAGGGGAGAAATTACAGATACTGTCCCAAGGCGCGCCCTGTGAGAAGAGGAAGTCAAAGAGCTGCGACTGTGGTGGTATCACCCACATGAATCATCAGTGCTGAAAGAGGAGGATAGGATGGACACACTGGCCTCAGAGCTCTGAATGGAACCCTGGGATATAATTGTTTTAGAGTTTGGGTTACTATAGGCTTCCAGTTGTATTCAGGACCTCAATTTCTATCAGAGGTCCTTAGCTTTTTGGTCTATTATAGGAAGACTTAAATTTTTTTCTTAAATTTCTTTATAACTATTCCTTTCTACAAAGTTCATTTTTGTCCTACCAAGGATTTGGCCTCCTCCTTTAGAAAGAAAGAGGACTCAGGGTGAATGGTATCAGGTCCAGGACCCAGAAACACAAATGACATTGATCAGACAATGGGAGGGAAATGGAGACTGGCTGTCAATCGGCCTATTGGGAATAAAAATAGGTTTTACCTTACAGACCAACCCTTTGGAGAACTACGTTGAGAAGGATTCAGAGGCTTGGACTCAAGCACAGACTCCAAAAGGGATCATAAATAATTGGTGATATCTGTCATGGGAATAAGACCATGTGCTCAAGAGTGCTGTCTGTAGCTTGGGTGGTTTGTTTGCAGACTGATTGGTCCCCAGCAGATAAAGACTGACTGGTCTCTAGTAGATAAATGACTTCCTAGGCAAATGCAAAGAAGTCAGGTTTTCCTGTGTCACCGACTCAGGACCTGTCTATAAAGTCTAAGTCAGGTCCAAATCTAAGAGTTAGGAAAAACATCGAATGTGAGAGCGGGAAAAGCCTGTTTATCATTACTAATGTTTGCTAAGTTCCTCACAGAAGTTGCCTGTCTAGTTCAGATAGGCCTGGTCTCTGGAGTCACGCCTCTTAAGTCAGCCTGGCTACATTCACATGCCCCAACGTGTACGAGTGAAAGGAAGCTATGGGATCTTTTGCTTTGCACAGATTTCTCCTTTTCCAACAAGTCATGGTGTATGAGTTCTGTACATGGGTCCATCCTACACTCCACGTGTAAAGCCAACAAAAATCTTGGGTCTTGCACCTCCACTTTGTTATGCCCATAGGAACCACCGACGCCACCTCTAACCTCAAATAACAAAAAGCCTTTCTCTTGAAGGAGTGCTGTGTCAAGGGCAAGCCCCCCATAAATGGTGGTGACTTGAGTTTAGTCTTTTGTGAAGAGGCTAGGAGCTGAAAGGAGAGAAAAAACAGATGCTTAATTTGAGCTTCACCTGTCAGGCGGCTCTCAGGCGGGGAAGAAAGGTCAGCATCCGGAGGGGTGCAGGTCGTGGAATTCACGGAGAGATGACCATCTTCTTACTGCTTGGCCAGAGTATTCGAGGTAGCTACTCTGCGTGTGGATGGGGGCTGGAAGGCTCCTTTCTCATCCTTTTTTGTTTGTTATAGAGGAGGGTGAGGGACGCTGAATGGACGACTGTTAGGTACGATGAAGGTGAGTCCTTCTGGGGTATTTGGGGGAAAGGCCCGTAACACACCCATGAACAAAGGTGGCAATAACCTATGCCCGTCCCATCCCCATTCCAGGGGAATTGAGCTCCCAGGTGAGAAGGCTCCAGAGAGAACCCCACAGGGACTTGGGGTGGGGGCGCCTGCATCAGGGACGTGCTGGACACCGGTTGGCCCTCTTCCGAAACCATGGGGTCTGCGGTGGCAGGAAACGCACTACCCAACCCCAACATGTCACCTCGGGGAGGAGGAGCCAGGTGGATAGGCACCCCTCCAGGAAGGGCTGCCAGGTTCAGGGCTTCGGGGCCTCCCCGAGGGAAGAGACGAGCATGAGGACCTGGCCCGCGGGGTCCACGGCCTCGAGACTCCAGGGGTGAGGAGCCGCGCCCGGGCCAATTTCGAGTTCCCAAGCGAGTACGAGTCGGTGCCCGCCAGCGAGCGGGCGGGCCGTCAACTGCCCGGCCCGTCGCCTCCCTCCCCGCCCCCCGGCTTCCTGCGGAGGCCGCGGCCGCCATGTTGTGGGGCTGAGGCGGCGCCGCGGAGCCCGAGCGGCCGTGACAGGCTGCGCAACAGGTTCGCTGTCGGCGGCCTGACGACGAAGCAGGCGCGGCGGCGGCTGCCGAGCAGGTCTCCCGGCATCCGCCCGCGCCCGCGCCGCTGGTGCCGAGGGTCGCGGGGTCGCGCTGTGACGTGCGGGAGGCGCGGCGGGCGCGCCAGGTGGGTGAAGCCTCTCCCCGGGCTGCGGCAGGGCGCGGGGCAGGTGCGGGCGCTGCCGCGTCCGCCGCGGGGAGGCTCTCGGGCCGGGCTGGGAGGCGGCTGCGCGCCCCACACGACGCGGACGGGCCCTCGGGAGCCTCGGAGGTCCCCGAACTAGGCCCCTGGCAGTCTTGGCGGCGCCGGGCGGAAACCTCCGGCCCCGGGTTCCTGCCCCCGCGGCGCGGCCAGGGCGGACGGCCAGGGGCCGGGGCCGGGCTGCGTCTTCCCCGCGGTCAAACCCCGGACCCCGGCCGCGGCCTCTTCTGGCAGGTGCGGCCGCGGCGGCCGGCTCCTTCGCTTTCGGGGTGCGGGCAGAAGCGAACCAGCCCTTAGGGGCACCCGCCCGCTTCCTCGGGGCCCCATTTTATTTTCACGGAGTTGGTTTTCCTTCTTGGCAATGGTTGGTGCGGAACGCCAGGTGAGCCGCATCCCAGTGCGTCAAAGTAGCCCGAGTCACGAGAGGCCAGTGGGCGGATGCTCTGAGTCCGACGCTCTCATTAAACCAAAGTTGGGAAATGTTACAATTTGACTTCAGCGTTATTGACTTCCAGGGTATACAGGAAGCACGGAGAGCTGTAATCTCTTGGACCAGAGTAAAAGTTGATTGCTTTTATAATTCTTTTTGAAGACGCCTGCATGTGTATAGTGAATGGGTAAACCGAGGCTGAAATGCAGATGGCTGTGCATTTTGTAAAAAGATGATGTATTTAGATTTATTAATCCTGTGCGTTATGGTAGAGTGATTGCTGATGGCAAGTATGC